CGTTTGTACGAAAAATCTACTCCATAGTCAAGATAGACTAATGCAGTTTTTAGTGAAACTTATGTACTGTGGAATAAAGTAGGAACTTTATTCGTACGGCGTACTGCTCTCGGTGACGAACATTTGCGAACGTGTGATGTGTCTTTACAAGACAGTATTTTCAGTTTGATTATAAAGATATATATATTGTCTATCTTTCTAAGGAGTATATTAATTTTTTAAGTATCACCATATATATATATATTAATAATTACAACGAAATAATGTTTGATAATTAAACATGTGTAATTTATTGTCATAAATAGTAGGTTCGCATTCAAATCGAGAACAGTTCGCGAAATATTATTGGTATGGCAATGATCATGAGTAACTATATGATTATAAATCTTAAAATCATGATCACACTAAATTCATGTCATAAATAAAATTGGTTTTAAAAATTGTGTAGATAAAAATATTTCAATCTGGTTATATTCAAAACATTGTAAGTTCAATTTGTTTATACAATTTATGTACTTCCATTCTGCACAACATAATTGTGTTGTTTCGTGCATTAAAAATATTTTCTATAAGGTATTTTATTCCTTGTTATAGCAATATATATATATATATAATTTAAAACATCGTGGAGAGACGAAAAATAATAATGCCCTAATAAATGTTCTAATAATATATAAAACATTTTCCAGTATAAACTAACCTGCTTCCTAGACATGACATTTTTTTTAACGCAATTACATTAACAAGTGCAGTAATACTGTTGAAAATAAAAATTGTTTTTAGCGACTAATAAAATGCTAATACATTATTTGTTATCACATTTATATGTTATAAAAATCAATTGCACTTTGGGAAACAGCTTTGATAAAATGTATGAGTGAAACGAATTTTTTAGTTATATATTAGTACATAATAAACAATTGCTAAGATTATCTTAATTTATATGTGCATAAATAGACATAATGAAGCAATCGATATATATATATATATATGAAGTTGTCATGGCTGCTACTTTAAGAATTTTATAACACACTTGTATTACGCAATTTTCTGCTAAAAATGTTTATGTTACTGCTTGAATAATAGATAATAGTATGGTGCAATAGTAAATTCTTAAGGAAAAAAAATTTTCCATCTTTTTCATTAAAAAGGATTACTATGAAAACAAATTCATTCGTGGTATTTAATAATATTGGAATATGAAATTGTACCAAATTGTATTTTCTTTATAAAATATTATTGAATGAGGTATATCAGTGAAGATATTTGAATGGATGGATGATCTGTTATTAGACGCAGAAAATATAAAAAAATTTTAAGTAAATTTCTACGTATAACATTATTTCATTTATATCTCACTCTGTTATAAATACTATCATTGATAACATAAGTATTCATGTTGTAAATGTATTGATAAAGTTACAAATATCATTGTATCACGTGACTTCGATTGTGCTACGAAATAATCCGAATTATTTTGTATAAAATAAAGTAATATAACAATCAAGTGCATATTCGATAAGAAAAAAGTATCTGATATAAAAAAAAATTTTATATCTTATCAATACAAAAGAATTGTCATTTTTATTTGAACATAAAAATTGTATTAAAGTAATTAAATAATGTTTTATTATTTTATACGAATTAATATCAACGCGATAAATTTTTCAAATTTATCAATTTTTAAAAGGACTTATTTAAAGTAGCCACGTCACTGATTTGACCTCAGTAGTGCCTGTGTGGCACAATACGTTGATTTGTCGTAGAATTTCATCCATTCACGTGTCAGGGCGCACACGTCGACGCGACTGGCGTAAATTAAAGCGAACTGCGACACAACATACACGTCTACAGAATTCAAAAGACGTTTTGCTCGTTTACAAGTTATTCAACTGAATTGTTGGAAACAATTTTCAATTAGTTATTTAATTTAATCTCTTTCGTAAACCAAGAAATTATAAAATGGCACCAAAACAGAGAATGCGCATCGCCAACGAAAAAGCCACGAAGAATATTAATCTTCGTGGAAATGTACCAAAATCATCGGTAAGTTTATCTTTTTTGTTCTTTAATTTTTATTCTCTTTTTATTCATTAAATGAAATAATCAATAGTAATATAAAGTATTTAAAAATTAGTCATATAGCCTGAAAAATTTATTACTTATTCTATATATTGAGGTTATAAATGATACCATCTGTGATGGACATATCATGTCTATTGTTTACCCGTTTTCACTATTGACTACATAATTGTATTTCATATAAATATTATACTTAAACTTATTCAGTTTTATATATCTTAATTAAAAAAAATTAATATATTAATAATACTATTTTAGTCACTACCATATGTAAGACAAACATATGTAGCAATGTTTAAGAAACTTTCATTAGAGAAATTTGATGGAAATAAAACTAAATCAAATGAAACATTAAGAGTGCATAATTTTATTTTTTTTCTGATAACTTCATTTTTATTTAAAATTTATTTATATAAAAATATAAAATATATAAATAAAAAAAAAATATATATATATATATCTATTATATGCATTAGAAACCACAAGACGAAGGATCACCAGTTGGGCCATGGCTATTAGCACTTTTTATATTTGTTGTTTGTGGATCAGGTAAATATTTATATGAATCTATTATGGATTATAAATCCATGTGAATATTTATATTCGAATTAATTTGTTTCAGCCGTATTTCAAATAATTCAAAGTATCAGAATGGCTTAAAGGATTATAAATGCAAAAAAGGGAAAATGATATCGTTACTGTTGATATAATGAACTATTTACAAAATATCAATACACAAATGCCATCATCATTTTTCGAGAAACTAACAATCTTGACACGGGTCTAAGTAGTACAGTGAAGGTGATAATGTCTTCATACGTACAAGTTTTCAATATCATCTAGAGAATTCTATTTTCCCTTTGCTAATGGCTCAAAGATTATTTATAAAAACTTAGCATTTACAAGCGTTTAACTTAATCATGCCATGCATTGATGGAAGCGAAGACTGTACATTTTATAGAATATTACATGATATATTATATTTATCAAGGGTATATATTTTACTCTACCTTTCATTAAGAAGCATTTCATACTATTTCCAATATTTGTAATAATCTCTTTTAGAAATTTTTTTCAAAATGTTTAGATAATGTGCACTCTTCCATTGATGCATTTATAGTAAATAATTGTATATAAATAAACAATTCGTCATATGAATTTATAAAGCATTCCACTCCGAGCAGTTGGTAGCTTTTCTTTAACCATGTGTTTAGTGGCCTTGAAAGTATATTGGGTCATTATATTTATATATATATATGTATAAGTGTATATCATATATACGTAATGTTAAAAGTAATTTATCTATATTAAATATTTGCTACTAACAGTACTTTTTTTTTTCCTTTTTTTTTCTTTTTTTTTATGAAGAATATAATAGAGTAAATATACATTATCAGGATACATTTAAAATCACACCTTGTTGTTTTTATATTTGTTCGTACTATATTTATACAATTTGGAACATAATGCATTATCTTTAAAAATGTTAAATTTTTTTTTATTATTGTAAAAGGATTTACGTAGATGTTTGAAAATGTAAAAATAGTCTTAAGATAAATACTAAGATATTTTGTTATAAATAAAAAAACAGATGTATAGTTACTATATATAGATATATAATAATCATTTAAAGTAATAATAATAAAAATGATAAGGATGAAATGTGCTCGTAAAAAATAAAAATGAAAATCATGAAGAACGGCATAAGTAATTATATTTCTACGTATACATAAATATATATATATATATATATATATATATATATAAATACTTTAATATTATTTTTGATACTGATGCTATTCGCAATAATTATATTAATTCTCAATTGTTTCATTACTTTTAGGCTCAATACATACATGTCGATTTATTTACTTTTGATCTCGGTTCGATCCAATATTATTTTACTCTTTTATATTATACTAATTGGAGAGATACTCATTGGTATGATTGGATCGTTACTGAAAATTGTTTAATATGTATGATATAAAATAATATTTGATCGAATCGATCGTGATTCGATCGTATCATGAACGGATCGAAAGTGTGTATCGAGTCTCATATTTTTTTTTTTTTTAAGATTGTTCACTCATCTATATTCTTTGAAGCACATGTGACTTCAGCGACAGGTATGGAGGAAATATAAACTACAAACGTAATTGGGAATCATTGTTCCAATCATGCGACTATCGTATCGATGTATAAACTTATATTGGAGTATACATACCTTATGCGTAATCTAACAGTCGAATTATTTTGTGAAACAATTATTTCTATATAATAAAAATAATAGTATATTTAGTAAAGGCTAAAAAGAAAAAAAAAACGTGCAGATTGCTGCTTCTAAAGATCTACAGGCTAACAGTAATTCTATTCTTTTATATATCATTACGTTCTATTATTTGAAAAATTAAAGGAAAATTTAACTTCCGACATGATCTCTATTACAAGAGAATTTTGCGCAATTTTAGTCACAGCTCTCTAACTGCAAATGTTTATAACCTGATATAGACCGATAATGAGACCGTCCAACATATCCGTAGCTTCAATCACGACAATTTATTTATTAAGTATATATTGATTTAGAATTTACATTTTTTTATAGATAAAATATCTTCCATATACTTTGATAGGTTTGGTTTAAATAATTATGAAAATTGCCGCTAGAATTACTTTTTTTTATAAAACGTCGGTAATGTAGTAAGCATTATCGAATGATAACGTGCAAATTGTTTCAATAATATTTAAGTAGCTTGAATTTTGTATAAGAATTGATATTACTTATAATAATTATCTATTGATAAAGTTTTTTTTTCTATTATTGTTAGTAGACAATAAAAAGAAAAAAATTGTTAATATAAATCAAAGAAAATAAAAAAAAAAAGTGAGAGAAGATATACCGACCGATCCCCGATCCTTCGTTCGTAGTTTACGAAGTATGACGAAAGCGAAGAGCGTGACGTAAAGATTGTGCGTTCTTATTATTCGCCAGTATTCACGTACGTTCTCTAGGTAGATTCTGTTGAGTTGGATTCTCGTAACAAGGAGATAGATTTTAATACGAATTGGTATAATAAATTAGATATATTTCCCTTGATTGAAACTATATCTTATTTATACAGAAAAGAAAATGGCTGGCGCAGGAAATGCTAGTGCCGGTTCTGTTTTCCAAAAACTCGGTTTGAGACCAGTTACAAAATATAGTCTTGTTAAATACTATATGCCGGCTTTCGGTGTTGCTTCGTATACAGCTTTATCCGTCAATGTGATGAATCCAAGTCTCGTCATCAGGTAGGAAATTAAAAAGAACGGATTTGACCTTATTGATCCAAAATATTGAACTTAAATAGTTCAGTAGTCGTTATTGAATTATTACGTAATCCATGTATGCCTAAAATATGGTGCTCTAATATTTCATTTAAATGATTAAATATATTCAATGAAAAAATATTAGATTTTTTCATTCAATCAAAAGTATAGACAAATATTCTGTAGAAAAGAATCCCTATATTCATTATTTCTCTTTAGTCAAATTGATAACTGTAGCTGAAATAACTTATCATTTATTATGTTTGACCTCTTTAAGTAAAATTCAAACACTTGACATTTGTATTCTTTAGATAAAATGATTCATTTTATATATAGTCATTTGGTAACATTCATTTCTTTAATCGTCATTTATATCTCTATTTACAGAATATTTCCAAAGAAAGATATCACGAACTACTTACTCTTTAGTGCGCTAGCAGGAACTGGCTCATACTTTTATACCAGAGAGCACATGGAAAAAGCTCAAATCAGTACGAGATTGTTATATAGGTAAAAAGTTTTTAAATTTTGCATATTTATTCATCCAAGCAATATGTGCACTAATCGTTATGTTATACTTAATAGTGGTACTGGAGCATTGTTGCTGAGTTTTGGTTCAGTTTTGATGTGGGCTGTTCTACGATCCATTGTACCACCAAATCCAACTTTATGCACTTTAGTTGGTATTGGTTCAGGATTACTTATTATTAAAGTTGGTTCTAGCTATATGGACTATATTGATAATCAGATAGCTAAAAAGTAGATGACTATTATTGTTTTATTTAATTTCATTTATTTCGCACTAAATTTATTATTAAATAACAGAAAGATATAATAATCCATATGCCATTGGGTAACTAGATATCATCAAGCTGCATAATACTTGTAGTTTTCTAAATTTTATATGGTTGTCTCTATTTGTAGTAAATGGATATATTATTGAAAACTATGTTGAGTATTGTTAGACTTAATGCCTAACAGCTATTTATTTACTGTATTTTTGCTTTTATTTCTTTTTTTTTTTTTGGTTAAAATAATTATCAATATAGTATTCATTGAAACGTATATCTTATATCCAACTACAGGAGATTGCTGAAGTATATTGAATTAGGTGAGAAGTAATTATAGAATAGAAGAGATTAATGCTAAATTTTTTGGAACAAATGTTTCAGTATTTTGACAGCTATGTTTTGTGAATTATACTGATTTTTTGTTTACATGAGATATACAATGCAAATGAGATTGATCGTTTTTAGAAATTATTTCTCACTAAAATTATATATATATATACACACATATATATATATATATATACAAACATATATATATATACATATATATATACATATATATATATAAAAATTTGAAAAATATACAAGCAAATAATATTATTTGAATATAATTTTATTTTCATTAATGTTTTTGCATTTTACTAAATGGATTGCATAACTAGTATTAAAAAATGTGTATAAGCATTCTAATAGCTGTAATTTTTTCAATAAAAATGCAGTTATTGTTTTTTTACGACATTTTCTAATACAGATAATTAAAACATATATAAAATTATTAATACCATTTATGAAACGATTCATGTTATTAATAGCAATCTGTAATAAACATTTCATTAACTTAACAGTAAGTTAAATTTGTAATTACTTAAATTAAGTTAAAGGAATTTGATATGAATGCTTGTATTTAGAATTTGTGATACCAAAGATTATATTTCATGTATTGATTCATATTCATTGTACAGTTCTGGTATCAATTCTAAAAGAGCTGTAAATCGTTCACCAATATCTGTTGCTAATTTGTGTCCTCCTGTCAAAAATTTGTATATATAAGTTGAGAAAAAAAATGAATGCAAATATTACACAAACAAATACGAATCTAGTTTTGATATAAATTATTTTTATTTCTTGTATCCTTAAATGATAAATAATTTTATATTCTACGTACGCAAGGAATATAACTATATGATTTATAAACAATTTTAAGTTTTTAATATATATTTTAGAATATTTCATAAAAATTAACAATACCTACAAACAATAATATACAATAATTTTCAAATTATAGTTTTATAATATTTAAGTAAAAAGAATCATATCAAATATCTACAAATGTCAGTATCACTAAACATTAAAGATTAAATTACGAACAACAAAACTTTGATTGGTTCCAGATTAAAAAAGATAACAAACGAACATTATAGACGGTAGAAGTTTTATGGTATATTTGTCAATGTATTATGAAATAGATAAACATAATCATCTAATACATTCACTAATATTAATCTAATGAATATGCAACATATCAGTAAGATACTCAACATGTATTTCAATTAAAATCAGTCAGTTCTATACGAATTTCGTGCACTTAATGTTGCAATAAAAATAAATGACAATAAATAATCAAAATGCAAGGATGAGTGCTGAAGAAGTACGTAATGAATATTGACTCGTAAGTTTAAGTTAAATTATTCGTATGTCATCACTATAATAGCAATATTTTGCAGTTATTATTACATATATATAAAAATTTTATACAATAGAAGAACAAAAAGGAAGAAAAATTTAATCAAATTATTATCTTGTTTAATTTTATAAAAAATGAGAGGTATATCTATATGAGAGCTTAAAACTCTGTCCATTCTCATTATCATGTAGTTTATTTTATTACAAAAAGGCATACGAAAGTCGTTTGAATAGCGCGCCATTTTTAATCTTAAAGACGGTCTTTACATATATTACATATTCTTATTTTACAAATCCTTTGTGCAACACGTACACATTTAAAAAAATTAATTTCTTATTATATATTTTACTTCCAACGCAAAGTGGTCCATATTATATATATATATGTATATATATATGTATATATATAATATATTATATAATATATATAATATATATAATATTATATATATATATAATATATTATATAATATATATTATATATATATATATATATATATATATATATATATATACCCGTATTAATTGAGCATTAGTGATGATTTCTATAAATTTTCATAATACGCATATATAAAACACATAATGTATTAATACAACTTACCAACCGATAAATTACCGACGAATTCGATGAGTTAGTAAAATGGATTTGAAATTAATTTACGAAATTACGATCATAACTTTAGAGTTAAACAAATGAAATATTAATTATACCGAAAATGTTCAACTTCTGTATTATATTACTCGTGCGAATAATTCAAAATCTATGAAAGACTAGGAAGGCGCAGTTATGTATTGGCTCGAAAAAGGAGTATTATTATGGGCCTATATGGTGAAAAAAATCATTTGTTAATCGAACTTTCATTATTGGCAAGAAACTTCTTCGAGCACTTCTTTTTTCATGTTTCTTTCATATAAACACACACACACACACACATATATATATATATATATACATATATATACACACACATATATATATATATATACATCCGTACATACATACATAGCTTCGTCCTTAATGAGTTTTACAAATCTTCATAAAAAATTGTTCAACATTCTTCGACGATCCTTTTTATAACGATGATAATACCTCTTCTCGGAGTAATCGATCATTTTATTCGAATAGATCGAAACATTTTATTTTTCCTTCAATTAAACGTATATATTTTTATTAAATTCATTTCGTACGATTCGTCGATGATATTAAAGTATCTCTGGTGGTATCGTGTAAAGTATAATTTTCATGTAAATCCTCGTGGTTTTTTTGAGGACTCGTTGAGGTGGTCAAACTTTTCGAAAGTACATCGACAATATTCTGCGTGACCCTTTCTATTGCATCACTTACAACCCTTTCCGTGCTTGTCTCGTTCAAATGTTTCGATTTCCTTTCAAATCCTTGCTCGTGAATAATATCTTTATTCTCGTCTTCATCCTCGTGTTCGTGAGAATACGAATGCGAGTGTTCGTGCGAGTGTGAATGAGAATGCGAATGCGAATGCGAATGCGAATGGGCCGCTGTAAAAAGAAAAAAAATTTTAATTAATTAATCATCGGTTGTTATTAGATATATGCTGGCTATAATGGTATTGACATCGTTTAAGTTTTTCTTTTTTCCCCTCTTTCTCTGCTCTGTCTATCTCTCTTAATCGTTCTATCGACTGTAATTATTTCATTTTGTAACGATTACATCACATTGTTATTTTTTCTTTTTTTTTTTTTTTTTGTTTTGTTTTTTTTTTGTTTCCTATCGAAATATAGACACATACGTATTTAAATTGTATTTAAATCGTAATATTTGATACTATAGTTACGTTAATATTTAATTTTGTTACGTTGCATTGTTTCGTAATATTTGATTAAAATATATTTCTCCTGATAGTTTATATATATATATATATATATATATATATATATATATATATACATCTCCTGATAGTTTATATATATATATATATATATATATATATCTCCTGATAGTTTATATATATATATATATATATATATATTACAAGAGAAATGGATCGTATCAATACCAACCATGTCATGTAATCAATTAGGGACACTTTTATCCCTATAATTTATATTATAAGTTGTAAATGATTATATCTTACTAATTTGAATTAACGATATCGAATCGATGCGTGTAAATGTATTAAATTCGATCTAAAAATAATTTCTTTTCAAATGAACATTCTATGATGGATCAATTCATTTTTAGTTTGAGAAATGTGAATATTCTGATAATCATAAGCTAAAAAGAGTATAAGATATTAAAACATGAATATATTTATATAATATATATGCAATATATATAATATAAATATATATATATATGCATATATACAAATACAATCATATTGAATCGAGAAACACATCGAACATAAGAATTTCTTATTTCAACATTTAAAGTGTATATTAAAAATAAGCATTTAAGTTTCATATCAAAGAGACATTTTTCTTTTTATCACAATATTCGATTTTCAACGATTTAATATATTTTTTTTCATCAGAAAGAATATAACGAAAAAAAATTTTTAATCGTGAATAGATACAATAGTAATATCGCTATTTACTTGAAGATTTTTTCCAGTAGGTACAGTAGATCAATTTTTTTTTTTTTTTAATTCCTAATTCGCAATTTTACACGAAAACGTAATTGCATTTTTTTTTCTTTTTTTTTTTTTTTAAATCAATTTTATACGACACGTAAAAACTTCCGCGTATATTGACGTAAAATTTCGATTTCTATTTGCACCAATGACGACAGGCAACATTGAAGAAATGTTTTGCCTTACGCGCTATATCGTAGATTAAAGAATAATCAATGAATTTGATAATTATTTCGATTTCGCGTTTTTTTTTTTTTTTTTTTTTTTTTCGTTTTTGATTTTGTCACTCATTATCGATCAATCTTAAAGTTGGATGAAAGATTACACTATAAAAGATTCTAGATGGTCGAGAAAGCGGTCGAAAGTCGGTCGAATCGTCCATCGACCTGCGACGCGGGTCATTGCCATGAATAGAGAAAGCTCAGAGAAGAGGCAGATCTTTACGAAAGAGAGAGAGAGAGAGAAAGAGAGAGAGAAAGAGAGAGAAAGAGAGAGAGAGAGAGAGAGAGAGAGCACTTAGTCCTCGTAAAACGAATCGACGTAATAAAGATCGTAATTTGTCAACCACGATGATTGCGAACGTTCGTTCGTGTATATACGCTCCTGGAAATGTCTCATTTTCTTACGTGAGAACTATCATTACGTATATCTCTCCCTCTTTCTCTCTCTCTCTCTCTGTCTCTTTCTCTTTCTCTGTTTCTCTCTCTCTCTCTCTGTCTCTTTCTCTTTCTCTGTTTCTCTCTCTCTCTCTCTCTCTCTCTCTTTCTATTTAATGTTGTAATAAAACGACGAGTACATACATATGCATTTATCCTAAGCAATTTATCATGTAACATTATGAATAACAATATACTGCGAAAATAAGATAAATAATAATATATATTATATATTATCCATTTTGAAATTCTTCTAATAAATTAATTAGTCTTACGAGTTTTTCTATATTTGACGCAAGAGACTTACTCAATTATTCTTTTAAGGAATCAAGATAGAAATCGAATTATGCAATTATATATATATATATATATATATATATATATATGTTGAGATATATATATATATATATATATATATATATATATATCGAGAATTTCTTAATTCGAATTAATTCGCAATCTTTTTCCTTTACGTTTTTTATTTGTAATCATTTTATTATGACGATTACAAGGAAATTGCTGTCTAAC